AACTTGGTTGGGCTAGACTTTGACTTTTCAGACATCAGGGCTTCTACAATGATCCCCACTCGACTAACAATGGCCTCCATGTCATGATCTACAAGTGAGACAAACGCTTGAAAACACCGATCGTTTGTGGTTAAAAGTTGCTGGAGTTCCTCGTCTGTGGAACAATTCTTTGTTTCTTCGTTTGTGAGAAAAAAAATCAAAGCCTGTCGCCCCAAAGCACGCGCTAAAGGTTCTCGAGAAAATATCCAGGAAAGAAAGAGAACTTCATGAATGTGGATTGACTCAAATTCGTTTGGTGTCAAATTCATCAAATGCTGCTCTATAATCTTTTGAGCAACCTCCATGCTCTCCATGACGTTAGCTGACAGTGTCAGTGTACTCAGCCTGCTGTAGGATGCAATCCAGAGATACAGCAAGTGTTTCTGTGTGACACGAGGCAGAATGCTGACATCAGAAAGCAGCATTATGTACTTGTGCAAGCTAGTCGCGAGGTTTCCAGTGGAGACCATCTTATCGCCATGAGCTAATGCCACATATATCAGTTCAATACAAGCGCACTGGGAATTGAAGAGAAAGATGTCTGTGATCTCTGTAGTGGCAGACTGTCTTACTGAGCATTGTGTAAGCAAGTTTAGGCAAGTATTCAATGAATGGATACCAGCAATATTGCTTATCTGGATCACTTCCTTTAGCTGAGTGGTATCGCAACAATCAGCAAGTGCAAGGCACAGGTCTGTCAAGAAATGTGCTGACACATCTTTCAGCTCTTTGATTCCTGGACTTCTACAAAACTTGTCTCTGATCTCTAAGGACAGTCGCACAAAAGAACTTGATGCTAGCTTCTTTGCAAAAACGTCCCTGTAAGTATTCAGTGAAGACACCGAGAGAGAGAGAATCTCAAAAAAGTTTTCAAACACTGCCGGACATTCAATGGATTCGTAGTTCAGCATCAAGGCCGGTACACATGTCTGATCGATAGCTTTCCACAAAGAATCTAGAAACTGCTCAAGTCTTTCATTCTCATTTGCAATTGTTGATTCATTTCTTGTCAGCAGGGTTGCGTACGACGGTTTTCCTGTCCGGAACTCTTGCACAAACTGTAAAGCCTTCTTGATAACCTCCCACAAAGCACCCAGAAGTGCTTCAAATGCTCCTAATAAATAAACAACAGCGAGAAATGTTTAGGTGGAGCGGCGGTCAAAGTTGTTTGGGAATTGTTTAAAGGCAAGGAAGGGTCAGGCAGTCAATGTTTTTCGAAAATGGTGGAATCAGTAATGGTCATTGTATTTCCTGGAGTCCAATTCGGTCTGTAAACATATGAGTGATAAAAAATTGAACGACCATGCAACAGGAGTCCGATTTGTTTACCATGAGTTTATTACCAGTTAACCATTAAAATAACCGTTTACGAGAAAAGAATAATAGTCAAGTTATGAAAGGGAAAGTTGCATTCATTTAAAGAAACAAAGGTTGTGATTGGTTCATTTAAACTACAACTTTGAATGCGATTGGCTTGTTGAACTATCCGATAACAAACAGTCCAATAACAACTTGGCAAGTGAATTAGTGGAAAATAGGTTTTTACTTTTAATCGAATCACAATCAAGGAAATTTGTAATCTGTATGATTACATATAGTTACTTGTCTCGCTAAAGAGCATTACGCTGCACGAGATAAAATTGAACTAATGGGGGAGGGGGCGTTGAAAAGATCAATATGTCAACAATTTTTTGTTGCCGTTTTTTGGTCATAGGTTTAATCTGCTTCTCTGAGTCACGGTTGGTGTTGGGTACTGTTTACCTAAAATGGGGTATAAGCCGTCTTTTGGATATGGACGGAAGTTAAAGAACAGCTTACCTTTAGGAATATTTCGAAAATGTTCCCTTGGCTTCATGAATTTTTCCACTTGGGAAATCACAGTCAGCACAAGAGGAACAACAGCATCAAACGACATCAGTGAAGGAAAATGATTGATGTTTAGAAATGGCACCACTGCACTTGCAGCCTGAGTAGTTACCCTGTGGTCTGCAGACTTTAAGCTTTGGTGCAGGACATCAGCGCATTTCCTATAAAGCTCCTCGTTTGGAAAAAGTTGAACGTTAGACGATTGCAAAGATAAAATTAGGGAAAGCACACGAATTGCTTGCTTGATTATTTCAGGATTCTTGAACTTGATGGCTTTTGATACGCCGATGATTACTGACTCGATACCATAAACAGAGTAGCCTTCAGTGAAGAAGACCTCAGCTCTCACTATGTGATCCAAACAACAGAACACGGAGGCCACAATCATGTCATTTGAACATTCCAAGTCTTCAAGAAGCATCTCTCCTATTCCAGATCTTAGAATGGCCCCGGTAAAGTACTTTTCTTCACGATCATTTCGTAAAATTTGAGTGATGAATTGTATAGCTCCGGTCTGGATTGCCTCGTTTTGTGACAGCATCAACTTCTTTAAACTTTCAAGTTCATCGCATTTACCCTCGATTGGCAGTTTCAAAACGGAGATTATCACATCTGGCTGTGTAGCAAACAATTTCAGGACCCCAAGGGCGTTAACTTGAGTATCGAGACTAACAGAACAGTTGATAACGGCGCATGTCTGTCGGTATATTTTCTCTCTGATTTGAAAATTTAACTCCTTCAGCGCTTCTTCGTTGGAGCACACTTGTGCAAGTACGAATAGAAACGCAACTTTAATGGACTCTTCAGGAAACACAATGTTAGAAATCAAATATTCCAGCAAAGAAGACGAATTCTTAGCGAATACTTGACACAAATCCGGGATAGATTTAAAAAGTCGCCCTAAGGCAAGAACGAAAGGATAGGATTTCTTGAAATTGTTTAACCGTAATACTTGGTTCTCTAACGTTTCCATAACTTTCTCCACAAGTTTTTCAGATCGCAACTTAACTGTGATAATATCGAGTGCTTCAGCTGCTGTGCTCATCAGAAGCTCGTTCTCTAATGACAACATATCCATTACTGTGTTGCAAAGGTGCGAAACAATCCGCGTATTTCGACAGAGAAGCTCCAAGAGATTTTGATTGTTCGAGAGGAGAAAAACAATCTCCTGAAGAGCCTTGCGTTTGCGAAGATGAAGGACATTTGGACTCTCCAAAATCTCCACTAGACACGCTACGCAGACTAAAGTAACGTCTCTTCCTGTCATTCTCCATTGAGAATCATGCTTTGTGTGATTTAAAGTGAAAAAACTCAGCGAATTTTCCGTCAACTCCATTTTAATTTCTTGCGATACTTGCAGGATCTGCAGGATTGCCAAGGGACTCATGTGAGCCCGCGAATGCAAGGTATGTGTGTTCCACATGCGCATGTGCCTGATGTGCCTTACTCTTTTCTGGAGGGAAAGTTCAAAATACATAACGAAATTTATCTGGAAACGATTTCCATAAACAACTGAAGATTTTCTGAATCTGTCGCGGTTTGTAGCTTGCCTAAGAATGGCATCTGATGTAACTGTTGATATGAAAGGAGGTGAGTATTGTTTTGCTTGACCATTTTCACAGTGTAATTATCTCTGTCGAAAACATCCTCCATCGCTCGACCTCGTAGCAATGTTTGTTTACCAATATCGTACATTCGTAATCTATCCAGATCGAATCTTGTAACTTTCTGAGGGATATTTCAATGAAGATGAAACGCTTTGAATGTTTTTTACGAAATAAACAGCGCTGTCTTTGAAAATAGTATGTGATTACTGAAAATAGATCACGTATGTATTTAATAGACTAACACGCACATAGTTAGTCCCCTCTACTAACTATGACTAACACTATCATAGAAGTGCGAAAATCACAGCGTTTGTCTTGGTAGTACTATACACCCGAGTGATTTGATGTATCTGCTAACTAATTACAGGCTCAGAAATGTTAGACGTATCTGAACTGCAGCAACATAGGAAATCGCAAATTACAGACCTTTTATTAAAGCAGAGGCAGTTAAATCTACAAGTCGTTTCGGGTAAACACGACCAATACTTTGTTGTCTTTCAGGCGAATTTCCACTTCTTTGCTCAGAAAAACGACTCACAAAGGTAGAAGTAGTTAAATTTTTGTGTGTTTTATTCCTTTTTATTTAAGACATACACAAATTCAAGGTAAATGTATCCTTTCATCCCAAAGATCAACTAGCATCCAATTTCTCCTTACTATATTACCATTGAATCAAAAACTAAGCCATGGAAATCAAAGAAATAATCCCTGATTGCTTTGACTGCAAGAGATATTCTAGCTAACACTCCTGGGCAAAGAGAGGTACTAAGCGTCTTGCTTAAGTACACTTCTTTGTAACCTGGCTATGACTTGTCGTCTTACCTTTTTATCCAGGGTCCAGCAGCTCACGAAAATGATTGCTTTGACTGCAAGAGATATTCTAGCTAGCACTCCTGGGCAAAGAGAGGTACTAAGTGTCTTGCTAAGTACACTTCTTTGTAACCTGGCTATGACTTGTCGCCTGACCTTTTTATCCAGGGCCCAGCAGCTCACGAAACACTTGGACACTGTGTCATTTACTTATTGTACACAATTAGAACAATTTAAAACATTTTTTGTACACGATATGCTGTTGGTTGGAAAAATTAAACATTTTCTGCTTTTACACCAACAGGTACAGCAAGCAAAACTGGAGGCACTTGCTGCCTTTGGCAACTGCACATTTGATTCCTTGGTTGTAAAAAGGGAAAGCTTTAAATCAAAACTCAGTGCAACATCAGAGACCCCAGCAACAACAAAAGAGAGTGTGAAGAGGCTAACTCGGTAAAGACTGACAATTTGTGTTTTATCAAAGCAATATCCCCTGGTTGCAGATTTTCTGTGTTCTCTTTAACTGCTCACTGGAAACTGTAACAACAATGCCAACGAGAATTTCATTACAAGTCAATCCTGGGAATCCAAATTATCCTGGGCTTTGATGAAATCAATGTATATCTTTTCACTCTAATCCATTTTATTTTTGTCATTATCATTATTTTCTGGTTAAAAGACCCCTTGCCTAGGATTGAGTGTCAATTTTACATATGAACCTGATTGTTGCAGTAATAATTTCATTTTTTAAATTATTTGCCATTTCTGTAATCATGTTGTAATTGAGTGGCATAGGGAGAAGTGGCCTGACACAGAATGACGCCAAATAATTATTGGTTTAAAATTGAACTGTGATGTGAACTTCACTAGTTATACATACAGAACAGCACCTACAAAAATTTATAAATGCCAAGCTTCATGCTGGATGCCAAATTTAGCTGGTTTAACTCAATGAAGAATTTTAAGATTTTGGAAGCCTTAAACACCACCTCCCCTCTTTATCCAGCTCATATAATGACACATCTGCAACATAATTTGATAATGGCAGATGGTTTGAATAAGTGATCTTTTCCAAAAAACTCAGACTGGGATTTTTTTTAAATGTTTCTTATTTTATTTTTTTGGCCAATTATGATACTAAAACTTACATTACTTAATATATTACTTACAATGCAATGCATACACTACTTACATTGTAATATGATCACTCAGGGCTTGACACTAACTTTTCAACTTACTAGCCAAGTGGCTCATGACAACTAAGATGTTGCAATAATTTCAGTTTGTTTATTAGCCAAACTGGCTAGTGGAAGTCGATCACCACTGGCCAAAACTGAATTTCTATTAGTCTGTGGCTAGTTGGCTACTGTTAGTGTCAAGCTCTGTCACTGTGTTACTAAGAATACTACTGCTAACACAACTTACAGTGTAATATGATAACTCATGTTTGTTACAATACCAACACTTAACCTACCTATGCTACAATATGATTACTAATGCCACTTGAAATATGACTCGATTACTTATGTGCTACTTGCATCAGACTGGAATATAGAATAAGGTAATCCCTCTTTGTAGAATTACCTACTCGTTAGAGCTGCCATTATAAATACAAACTTCATTTTCATAGCTGCCTGTTTTGGTGACCTTTTTCCCATAAAATCATAGTTGCTCAATGGTCAGTGCACTGGTTTGAGACCAGGCCAGGTCACTGTGTTGAGTTCTTGGGCAAAATGCATTACTCTCTCAGTGCTTCTTGCCATCCAGGGATATAAATGGGTACTAGGGAGCTGTTGGGGAAGCTGGATGAAATGCTGAGGGCTAAGGTTGCGATGGACTCACATCCCATCCTGGGGGTAATATCTTGGTTGCTTCATGCTAAGGAAACCAAGTTAGGTTCTGGCTGCATGGGCCACTTGACTTAATCTTCCCTTAAAATGAGACTAAGGGTAAAATATGAGCCCAAAGCACGATTCCCAAATCTCAAAACAAAGGTGTTTTTTTTGTCCTCTGAACTATTCTTTTATTTGTGGTCATTTGTTGGATACCTTTTTGTCCTCTAGAATGGAAAAAGCCAGACAGGAAGCCAATGAAGCATTCAAGAATATTCGTCTTGGCCAGAAACGAAAAACTAGTGTGAGCGAGAACAAAACAGAAACACGTGTCCCTGTCACTGCAAAAAGAAGACTAACAAGACTAGAACGATGTAAACTTGAAGCACAGCAAGCTTTTGGAAATGTTCCGTTGGGTACAGTTACAGAAAATGTTGCAAAGAAAGATGACCAAAACAAGGTTGGGAGACACAGATCTAGTTCAGGAACCAAATGCTCAGGACTTGAGAATAAAGAAACTACACAGAAAAATACTAAAAGAAGCTTTGACAAAAGATCTTTGGAAAGAAACACGAAAGAAAAGAAGAAATCTCTAAATAAGGGGAGACAAAACAGAAGGTCGTCATCTTTGCGAAGGAGGAGTTCAGCCACTATGCTAAGGCGAAGTTCTGCCAAAAGTAATAGACTGACCAAGGTCCAAGCCTCACAGTTAGAGGCTTTTCATAGCTTTGGAGGCCTGAGCCTTGAGAAGTTGTGCTCCTCTAACAAAGAGGCCACTGAAGCTGAAGTAAAGGGTGAACCAATGACTGATGACTGTGAAACAGTTGAGGAAGGGGAAGTCCAGAGTGAGGTTAAAGAACCAGTAGCCATGGTAAAACATGACAAAAGTGATCCTAGTCAGAAAGATACAGTTTGTAGTGAGATGAATGTTGAGCCAGCACTGATTGCTAATGCTGTATATGTCGTGAGAGAGATGTCTCTTCAAAAATGTGATCCTGTGGATAAAGTAACTAATTCCCAGGTGATACCCAGTGATTGCTGTAACACTGAAGTCCAGACAGAGGAGGTTCGAGCTTGTGCAAATCATGTGATTGCTGTCAAGGGAATGCATTCTATTCTAGAAGAAAGTCTTCCTGAGGTTCCCACTCAAGACAGAAGTATAACCACTGTGGCAGCATCCAAGCCCTTGACCCGCTTGGAGAGAGCACGTCTAGAAGCGCTTCAGAGTTTCAACGGGCAAGCTTTTGATCATGTGATAAAGACATCCACCAGGAAGATGGCCAGATACTTGACACCAGTGAAACACCAGGGGACCAACACAGAGCTCCACCTTACAAGGAATACACCCTGTCAGACAGACGATTCCTTGGTAAGACACTACCCACCTCCGAACAAGTCCTTCTACTCCAGGCTCCAAGGCAACAGCTTTCACGACAGAGACACACTGTTGGAGAGTAGCAAGAAGGTGGTGCAGACAGCTAGGTCCTTGGATACACCTTCTCCAGAATGCTCACCTGCAAGCTTGTGATTACCTAGACTAACAGTAGAAATACCATTTAGTATACCATTTAGTTTACCATTTTTATTTGTTTGTCTGTTTTCCCCTTCAGGACAGGGTAACTCAAGTTTTGTTTAATTGCATTGAGTTTGGGAAAAGAGTAATTTGTTAGAGTGGTAAGTCATTATTTTATATAAGATGTTCTGTTGTTTTTTGAGCATGCTTTGTTGGTGTTCATATTTGTACAGAGATGCTGCTCACTAAGCCAGTTAGTTCTGACAACAAATTCCCAATAATTATGATTTGTGACTACACATGAGGGGTTGTCATTAGAAGCTGGGTGGTGGCAGGAACCCACTGGCTGTCAGACCATTTTGCGATGTTTATTTTGCACACCAGCCTTTTGTAATATTAAGAATTGTCATCTTTTTGTAGAGAAATCTGTTTTATTGTTGTTGTTGTTGTTGTTGTTGTTGTTGTTGTAAGTTAGTGATTTTCTTGTGTTTTTCTGATTTTATGGAAGAAGGATAAAACTAAAAACCTTCACAGGAAGAACAGTGCAAAAACTATCAGTGATGTTGACAGCTAACTTCAAAGACAGAAATAAATAATCATAATATTGAGATTTGTCATTGAGTTTCAGTCATCAGTGCCTTAATTGTGTCAGCTATCAATATTGTGATTGTCAGTTGTGATAATTGAGGTTTTGGTTTTTTTGCCATGCAACTTGCATCTGTAAAATCATTCTATCACGCTCACTGGTATGGTTTAGGGCATAACCCAGTGAACTGATGTTAGAAGATAAATTTGATTTAGCTAAATTAACAAGCTTAGACAAGACAACAATAAAAGGATATAGATCTGGCCCCGGTTGTTCAAAGGATGGATAATGCTATACACTGGATAAATCCTATCTGGTGGATAGCGCAGTACATTTTGGTAACACTTATCCGCTGGATAGCCATTTATCCGTTGGATAGCGTTATCTGCTCTTTGAACAACCAGAGCCTGGTACTTATCAGGCAGATTGGCTTTCAGTTACTCAGTGATTATCTCTTTAGAAAGAACTTTGGTGTTAACATGTAGATGAAAGACAAACATTGATATTTTTGTCGTTGATTTATTTATAGAGCACCAGAGCTAAGCACAGACTTTTTCCTACTGCTTAACATCAGTGTTGCTTTTCTCTATGCTTTTTTCCATACATTTCCCAAGGTGTTTACAAGGAGAATATATTTAACAATCTAAAGCTTCTTTAGTTGGTGATCACTTCCTTTTTTTCTCTTGAGCTTAGTGTGTGATTCAAGGGTGATATTGTTGGGAGAAACTAGATGCCAGTCACTTTTAAGGTCAATGATTTAAGAATAAAGGGGCAAGTTTATAAAGGAACCGTGCATGCTGTGTTGGTGGAGTTACGAGGTAATATGGGTTTTTATCAACTGAGTTGATAATGTAATTTGGCCACTGTAAAGAGTTTCAAAGCTGGCATTTCTAACGCTAGCCCTTCATCAGAGTGAAGAGGACTATTCTCAAAGACTGGACCTGAAGTTTAAATGATGATTCTTTCCTGCCAGGTCACCACATATCAGATGATGGGTAGAATAATTTTTTTTTTTTTTTGGAGCAGAATTTGTTGAATCAGACTTGGTTTAAATACATGAAACTACATAAATTAAGGTTTAAGAATAGGATCAAGAAGCACTTACCCTACCAGTGAAAAGGCATTTACTGATGCTTTAATGCTAAATTCACCAGTATTAAATAAGAGGGTGGGGGATTGCTTAACACCTTACAACCAAACATCAAAAGCTATATTGATTTTCTCCATACTGTTCACCATACATTCCCTAGGGTACAAACAAAAGGAAATGTTTTAAGTTGGTGATCATTTCCTTTGGTCTTCTGAGCTTAACTAGTTTTTTTAGGGGTGATATAGTGAGAAAAAATTTTATGCCAATCACTCCTAGGGGTTACATTTGATAGACAAGAGCAATCTAGTTCCTTTTGAATGAAAAGAAGCGAGATTGATGCCACCCGTCCAGAAAGTGCTTGAACTAAAAAAAAAAAAAACGAAACTTGATCATGATTTACAGCAAATTAGTACTGCGCGTTGCTGGGTACCGTCAAAAATTGCCCAAAACGGCATTCGAGGATTTTTGGATTCATGAAAAACCCGGAAGAGGCATGCAATTTAAGTTTTCAGGCCTGAAAAGCTGTGAAACTTGAGCGAGGGTCAACGAACGTTAAAACCGATAAAAGAGGAAACGTTTCTTTTTGTTTTGTATTTTTTTTTTAAGAACAAAATGCCCGAAATCATCTTGTGCGATTGTGCCATTGTTTCAATTTGTTTGATCGCAGTTTTTTCCTTCAATTAAAATCTTAACAATAAAGATGAGAGCACTACAAACCGTTTATGTGGTGTTTATTTAGTGTTTCTTCGGCATTACCGGCCGTGCTCTGTTCATCATATTCACGCCTAGCTTCCAATTAACATCCGTACCGCAAAGGAGAATACGTCAATGCAAATGAACGTAGCTAGCCGCACCCGAAACAGGTGAAGTATGGTAAGGTTTCCATATGTGGCTCTCATTGGCTATGTAGCACACTGAAAAATCACTTTACAACCGCAGGGGACATGATTTTTCGACAATGATTACAGTGACGAGTTGCGATAAAGGATTTGTTTCAGGATAAGTACTGAGACAACCATTTGGAAAATCTACCTCCAAACGATAGCTTTACTTCGGCCAAAAACGAGGTCTGTCAAAGTTTAACTTTTTAGGTCCGCTTGAAAAAATCAAGGACTTAGAACGATGTAAAATGTGCCCTCTAACTTTTCCTACCATTTGTGATTTTTGTTGTTCTAACGAGTACTTTAACTGCTGTATCTCGTCAACTAAAGAAAAAGTCACCTAAACATACGCCGTAAGTTTTGGTTAATATAGGGGCTATGAAGGAAATTCAAAAGCGAAAAAATGCACTAAATAACTCGCTCAAACTTCCCATGGGTCGCCCTGTTTTGGGAGTCCCCGAGAAGAGTATGAATTGAAACAAAAATCGAAGTCCGAAATATGTTATAAGGCCGAGTTCCTGAATAATCTGTCCTTGCTCTCTATGGTGGACGTCATTTTCTGTTGCATAATTACCTCTGACTAACGAATCTAAAGTAAGTGTCCTTCGAAGGCAAAATGAGTTCAAGTGAAAGTTTGCGTAAAAAAAATGTTTGCTTTACGTATACCCATACAAAATCCGCTTCGATTGGTCCGCGTAGATAAATATTATAATACACAGATTGAAAGAAACTCTTTATCATTTCGCTTTGTCGGAATTATGGCACTTTGTGGCGTGTATTACGGGCTAGAATGGATAATTTGGCACTCTCGCGTACAGTTGTTCAGACCGTTTTGTTGTCGTTTCTTCGGTTTTTACTCTCTTGTTGTCTTCCAAAGTGTTTATAATAGTGATAAAGGTTATGTTCTTGGGCGTAAATATGTTTGGGGCTCTTCTCCTTTTATCCCTTTGCCTAACGGCCCAGCTGCTACAATGACTTTGAGTCCAGCTGGCTCAAAACATATTTATGCTCGCGCACATAAACTAAACAGTGTTTCATATACATGAACTCTATTGTTTCATCTGTGAACAGTGGGGTGTAGTTATGAGTCGCATCCAGATTCGTATCTGCCTAAATTTGCGTCGATGGTAACTCTTTTCAGCAATCTCCTATACTTTCTAGGACATCACATCTGATCTCTGTAAGTGCGCCCGTACTCAAATTTTCGGGCGCCAAAATTCAAATCGACGACTTCAGCTCTTAGGAATCTTTGCAGCGTTGGGTTAGTTGAAAATTCCCTGTTATCTATTATAATCTTTTTAATTAAAGATTAATCAGTATCTCGTTATTCCTTATCCCATTTACAGCTATTTGTACCATCGTCGTAAGAGCGGAGAGTGAATTTGAATACTCATTTGGCAATGAGTGACTTTTTATAAAACTAAGACGAGCGAAACTTGAAAGAATCTGAAGACTTTGAATACTTGAGATGTAAATTCTAACTCATATATGCCACTTTTCTCTATAATTATTTATTTATTTATTGCGCTGTTTGACTTTTGCTGCATGTCTTGTTTGCAGCAAATCAGTGTTTTTTAAGGGATCGCATGGTTTTCAGGGTGAACGAAAGGAACATCACTCTTCTCTAGCAGAGTCTAAAGAAGGGGGGGAGTCTATAGAAAAGTGACTACCAATGAGTGGGGTATTAATAGAATACTGCATAGCCTTCTGGGAGAATCCGGTAATTTTTATTGTGACACGACCTTAATCCTCCGATCGTCCCCCCCACCTCAACCCCCCTCTTTGGCGATAACTAATGACTGGTCTCTTATTTTCATTGCTTCGCCCTTAGAGATGAAAGGTTTTTTAATCACCAATGCATCCAAAGATGAGAGGTGGTTTGAGCACATCGTGACAGGATTCTACATCTCGATGTTCGTGATCACAATTATGACGAACTCGTTCCTCTTCATCGTGTTCCTCAAGAATAAATCGTTCCGCGACCTCAGCAATTACCTGATCGTCCAGATGGCTGCAGCCGACGTCCAGTACCTTTGCGTCACCTTCGCCATCATCGTCATAAAGAACCTGGATATAAAGCTGAGCCAGCCGACCTGCAAAGCTTTGTTGTATGCAGAAGGAGTGGCCAGATTTGCATCTTCGCTCTTACTGATGTTGATCAGCTTAGGAAGATCCACGTCTGTTTGCTCACCATCGATGTGCTATACATTAACAAAAATTTCCGAAGTTAAGAAAAAAGTGAGCGTCGTGATATTTCTTCTATATGGGAGGATCAACTTGTTGATGCTGTTTTGTTTGCGTTGAACTACAATTTCTTCTCTTCATCATCCCACAGGCTTTCTTAAGCGTTTTCGTCAGCGCTGTGATTCTTCGTCTGGGTGTCCTTTTCGTGGCGTGTGACCCTGAAAAGTGGGCCCCTGGCTACAGAGTAGCTGTGACTGTTTCTACTTACACCCTTCCCCTGGTGGTAGAGCTGACTGCCTACTCCAGATCTTACCACAATATCAACCGAAGGCTTAGAGCTTCAGTGGGCAGCAAACAAGTTCTGATGTTTATCAAGAGGTCGTTGAAGGTTTTTGTGCTAATCGCTGTAGTTTTTGCAGTCTCTACGCTCCCTGCATCGATCATGGTGATTCTTCAGTCATTCCGTGTTTACACACCTAGCTATTTTGGTGGATACGTCGGAGATATGATTGAGTGCATTCCCTGTGTTACAAACGTCATATGCTGCCTGGTCTGCAGCCCTAAGTTTCGTATGGAAATCAGGAAACTCTTTGCAGGTGTGTTTCAGTCTATGGATTTATTGCCCTAAAGTTAAAATCCGAAATCTTTGAGATCACTCGCTCGGATAGAGAAATATGGTTCCTTCTCCTCATCATTATCCGACTTTTCTAAGACTTGGTAACGTACTTAGAATACATTTAGACTGAATTGATAGGAGAAAGATCAAATCAAACTACCAAGCGACAAACAGGCAAAAAGAGTGAAGGAGAACATCAAAAGAAATCAATGAGAACTCAAAGTACGAATGTGGAAACTGAGTTAAAACGTAATTCCTCAGTATTGCACTGCGTATGCGAATCCTATATTGTGCAAAACATTACGTAATTAGGTGAATAAGCGCGTGATCATTCCGAGAACATAGCGAATTGCTTTTGTCAATCAATGAACGTGTTTCGAAACGGTAACGGAAATGGACAAAGGGAAAAGACCACCAAACGGACACGCAGTTAACTCTTAATCCAAAATGAATACTTAAAACTCTAAAAAGCGAATCGACCAGAAAAAAAAAAGAATGAAAAAACATGGAAAACTAAAATTCTCGCACACGTTAAAATCGTAAGCAAATGTTTTCAAATTCGAAAACTCTCAGAGTGCGCGTGCTCGCTGGTCGTCTCCTTTCAAACAGGTATGATGGTCCTAAGCTCTTGAACGAGCACGGTGACCCATATTTTTTTTTATTACTACCAGAGCAAGCTAAATGGGCTAAGATTGGCCCAATTAACTCTTTAGCAAGCACTGAGACAGAGATTGATAGGAAACGTTTAAGGTAAGTTTAAAAATAATCGGTGGACAACTTTTATTTCTGAGGAATCACCGGAAGCGCGGAGACACGCAAGTGACCAATCTGCAACCGATTGATTAGAAAGGGTGGTGCAAGTTTTTCAGACAAATCGCCGGTTCAACAAAACCAAAGTAGCTCGGGATTACTTTCCATACTCAGACTTGCTCTATGCCTCATAGTTAACACAGTGACCGGAGACGTTGATGATTCCTTAAGGTGACTGAACACAGTTTTTGATACATTTGTTTCTTTCACCATTTTCTCTAAAACCCTTGATCTCTTCGGTCGCCAAAACTGGCAGCAGGCAAGTTAACAACGCAAACTTTGTTTTTTTGATAGTTAAGCTGACGTATGTGCCATTGCCATGGCTAAATGAGTAAATATAAACAAGCCTTTAAAATCGGATTCCTTTATTCGTAGAAAATCTAGTCATTAGGTTTTCTTTAGAATTTGCATGCAACGAACTTGTGACGATACTCACAAGTTAACATCATTTTCTCCCTTGTGCAAGGTTCACTCGATTATCTAGAATTTTACAATTTTTTTCAATACTCCAGTTACTTATTTCCTTAAGTATTTGCGTGCCAAATTTCATGAAATCGTAATCAGTGGTTCTCAAGAAATAGGCATATTTCCAAGAAAGCAATTCTCCATTCAATCGCAATTTTTTTACTTACTACGCATGTGCTGCATTTAACTGGGTTCTCTCGGTAACGAGGAAAAAGCTGAGAATTGCTGCATGGGTTCTTTGCACCCTTAACTTTTCTAACACGTCTTTGTAATAAAAGATTAAAGCCCTCAATACACTGCGCCAACTATAGAGTAAAATAGCACAGAAAGTGCGGATACGTGTTGAGTAAATAAAATGATCGCTCTATTGACGGCATGTTTGTTTTTTGCAATCCTTGTACGCGCCCTGAATTGCATCAGCAAAAGCGCGCGCGAAAACTGTGTTCGGCCACCTTAATTCCATTTTTTTTTAGTCCAGTGATTCATGATTCATCAACAACTTGTTAACGGAAATTTTTTCACAAACTATATCTCAAAGTTCACGATTCCGGCCTTCTTGTCAAACCGCTTTGGTTAATGATTTATTATTTCCCCTTCAACCCCCGTGAATATTTGACAAAGAATCAGCCTAACCTCTTACACAGCCCCGCACTTTTTGACAAATCTCGCACTTTCCTTGCTTCTCACTTGGCGTTTATTTACAACAGTACTCAGGTCATGTAACAGCGATGAATACATTTCCAGTGCCTCTACAGAAGGCGCAGAAAACGTAGACGGTCTTAACGCCGAAAACAAACAAACAACAGCATCATGGACAAGACCACTTTAAGATTGGATTGGATTCTTGGCGATGATCCATCTCAAGTTGTCATTCCAGGATCCGCTACTTTGAGGGTAGACACACCAGTCAGTACTGTTCCTCTTGACTCCATAGAGGCACCTCATATGGCCTTAGAAACTATTGCAGAGCGAGACGAAACAAGTCCCGTACGAGCAGCCGGAAAAAAGACCAGAATTAGCACTTGGACACGTATGCGTCAAACTTCAAACGATCGACAGGTCCAGGGAGACCTTGCGGCATCCAAAGACTCCGTTTTAAATAGTGCGGACAGTGGAGTCTACTATTCTGGGGTGAGACTGGTTTATCCACGGAGACGATGGATAATATTATGCCAAAGATCTCCAAACATACCGTGAAGAATGTGGAAATAGGAAACCAAACTGAGTTCAGTAGGGTTGACGCATGTGAGACCGTGAAAGAATGTAGATAAGAGTAGCATTAGATATCTATTTTAAACAATTTGGCAATCCATCTCGCTTAAAAAAAGAAACGAACAATGGTGGAGATTCACCAAGCCGCGACGTCAATATTCACAAGTTTAGTATAGTCACAAGTCTAGAAACCTGCTCGAAGGTGAACAGCAATTTCTATGCATTTCTGAACTTGCCAATCAGCACGTGCCAAAAGTACCATTTACCTGTGCGGTATATACTTAATGCATTTATAATTTTTTAATGGCGGAGATGAGATGATATCATTTTTGGAATACACGTCTCTATTGAGTGAGCGACAAAAAACAAATGAGCACCTCACTAGATCGTAACATGAAGTCCCATGAGGAGCCTTTCACGGGACATTGTTGCAATGAGTTCATGCTTTTAGATATTTTTATTGTTTGCGAAACAATTCATAAATTTTACACGGGACTCACGTGGACAACTCGTTTCATTAGTCTTGCGCAAAAGAAGCAATGAAGCCTTTAATTATCAGAGCAGTTCGAAGAGTAAACTCATTAGGGAATTTGAACTGTCAAGCCTTTTCAGCGGAATAAACGTTTTTTTATCTTTCAATATGGGGGTGCTAAAAGGTTAAAAAGTCCACTTTCGCGAGCAGATGGGTCAGAAAAAAAAGGTCTAAAAGAAAGCCACGTTCGCCATTAATTTTGCCTTTAAAAAAACCCGGAACTTGGGTGGGGCATTTGAACACAACTTTATCCTTAAGGCTGGTTTTCATTTGCGACGGAGTCGGAGTCGTAAGAGCGCTTATGACCTAGTGAAAATCGAAAAACGGATTCGTAAGCGGAGTCATAAGCTCGACGGAATCGGAGTCGGAAGAATCAGAACGTTTCCATTTTCTTCCGATTCCACTTATGACTCCGTCGCTTACGATCTAGTGAAAACCGCATTGTTGGAGTCGGAAGCGGAAGCGGAAGAATAAACCAATCACAATGCTCAATTCCGGGCCCGCGAAAGTACAAATTTTGGCACCAAAGACAACATGGCGGACGAAGAGCAACTTTGGCTCTTATTAATCATTATTTTGCGCAGGCAGAGACAATACAGGAATAATATCGTTCGAAAAAGAAAGAAAGTTTGGGTTCATGATATCTATCGACGTCGAGCAGCTTAGGAAGAGTATGCTAACCTCGTCAGCGAACTACGACTTGGTGATCGTGAATTTTACTTTTGGTAGGTTTCGAGTATTTTAACTTTTAATTTCGTAATTTTACAGTCAAGCTTACACGTTTAAATTTGCTACGGCTATTTGTGCATTTTGGAAAGATGGAATCGAGCATTGTGATTGGTTTATTCTTCCGCTTCCGCTTCCGACTCCGACAATGCAGTTTTCACTAGATCGTAAGCGACAGAGTCATATATATAGGCAGCTAGAATCGGTGTTCTTCTTCCGACTCCGTCGGTTTGATTTTCACTAGATCGTATCGCTCCACGCTTCTGATTACGACTCCGACTACGACTCCGTCGCAAGTGAAAACCAGCCTTTAGGGTTTCGGGAATTGAACGAACCGGTCTAAAAAAGTTCAAACCACCAGGGGGGAGAGCGTTGCTTGGGCGATGTTGAAGCTTCGAACGGATTGATGGTCTTTGACGCATAAACTTCTCGTTGTCAGAGTCCGCGTTTCTTCAGGGAGCGTAGTCATTTTTAACTCCAATGATGCGTAAAAACGAATGGCTCTGGGGATGAGGATGAGGATGAGGATGAAACTAAGTTTTCTCTTACTAAGGTTGTTACATTGACATTAAATTAAACTCTTTTGCTGTGAAGTTCCTCATTTTTTGAAAAGCGATTATTTGTTTCAACCGCTCAGGCATAGCTCAGGTTTTGTTGAACACGTCAAACATTGATCTAATCAGATTAGTGTTCATCCGGCTGAAATTGGTCTGTAGATTTAAAAGATGGGGTTTATTTCTCTTTCGCAGAATCATCATGGCTTTTACGTGAAGGAAGAAACGCAATTTACATTTACAGCTGATGTGTGCAGGAAACACGATCCTTGTTCGATAGTAACTCTTTTGTGTTTTATCATGTCTATATTAGAAATGGCGATCACAGCCCTATATCGAAGGCACAGTTTTGGATATTCCACATGGTCAGCGAAACTATTTTAAAAAAGATTGAACTAAAGTGTTACATTGTTCATTTAACTATAATTTCCTACTTCTATTTAACGAAATAAAAGCTAACTTCAAATGAGTCTGAAGAGATGTTTAGGATTACATTGATTTTGATTGACTTCGCTTTGCAATTGATCTGTAAATCTTCCTCCTTCTTCGTTTCCAGGGTCTTCTGTCTCGCTCCCTCGAGAAGGGAAGAGAGTGGAACCCGGGAACGTGGTTGTTGTCACATGAAAGAAATGAAAGTTCATTACAAACTAAAACTAATGATCATCCCCGAACTTTCAAATGCGCGCGCATAATGAAAAACTTGTCCTTTCATTCATAACGTCACAGTCGAGGAAATATCGGGAACCAAGCAATCTTATCAGATTATTGTTCATTTCACCTGGACCTCCGGCAATGGCATGTATTGCATAACTTACACTCACTGCAAAAAGTTGTAAATTGGTGGAACAGGAAGACAACTAGGTGACCAATTTCGAGAAAACCTTCATGACGTAGAAAGGAAGGCAAAGACACATCTAACCCAGTCGCTAGACACTTTAATCTCCCCAATCATCCTAAGCAGGATATGGCGGTCTGCAGCCTTTCCATACATCTAGGCAGTTCGGATAGCTGCAAAACTCTAGAACAAAAATTTATCTTTCAAATTGGTACTCTAAATCCCCACGGTATCAACAAACGGTTTCATTCAGCTAATTTATTTTCGCTTTTTCTCGTCACCATGTTCCTATCATGTTCCGAGCGTAGCTTGACTACACGCACAACCCACAATTCCTCTATTCGCTCTGACGAAAGGCCAACGCTCGAAACTTCAGCTTGGAAACTCTTTACGGTGGCAAATTTCCATTATCAACTCAGTCGATAAAACCAAGTTATCTCTAGCCTCCTCAACCCAATAAATCAAATGCACTTCACACAATTCGCATTTTTTTTGTATTTCAAGTTCTCAATGACTCCGTGTCATTGTCTCCTTCTTTCTGGCCTATGCAGCTGGCTTTATTAATTTATTTTTACGGCATTGATCAGGTGAAAATAGACCCGGTGAAGATGCATAAACATCAGCATAGCTAGGAGTAATTTCCTCAAAATTTTTTGTATCAAACTTTAAGCGGTGCGAGAGATATTCATGCCTATGCTTTCATGATTATGAAACACAGAAGCGCTAGCCTGTATCGCCCTTAGAACATAGCAGCCGGTCAATTTAATTTGGTGTGAGTACTTTGCCCCGTATTACTCCATTCTCATAATGCATACAGATCTTTGATAAAAGTAAACAATGGTGAAAACTATAGATTCCCCTTGAGATTATGGTTTCGTTTCAGATCCGGCGCCAAAAATAAGTCATGCCCAGGTAAACAGCTGTTTGCCCAAACCCTGATCGTTTGTTATTTTAAGTCCTAAAGAAACAATAAGACTGAACAGCTTACCCTTTCTTACCTTTCTCGAAGGAATAAATCATTTGTTTTTGCTTTATTCAATGCTTTGTGTTGAAAGGTATGTTAGAATCTGCACTGATTATTGACCGCACTAGCATTTGCACTTAGCATTCTTGTCACATTACGTCCATTACAGGGTACACTTCGTGGGATTTTAAATGACCAATAGTTGCGCCAAAGAATAGCCTCTGAGCTATTGAAGACTCAAAAATGTCAAAAATTGAAAGATGGCGGACCAGTGTGGAAAAACCTGGGAAAAAGGTACCTTGAAATAGAAACGATATGTTGGCGCAAAACTCGCTGGTAGAGATTTTTTTGATATTTTAACACTTGAAAAACTTTGGTTTTCATTTTCTTTTTTGCTCTTTTATTGTATTGTTGACCCATATCTCTACAGCTTCGCTATTAGAGAATTTTGTCCTTTTTTCGAAAACGGAACATCTTAACGTTACAAAAATGAAAGAAATATTGGAAATACACAGGAAAATAACTATTTACTGAAAAATCAACGAAGACTGAACTTTGAATTCAAGCTGCGTGATTATATTGAGGTTAATTACAGAGGAAAATATGAAATCAAATGAATTGAACCGAACCGAAGAGGTTGATAACCACGGTCTTCCTTCCACTGTTGCTAGATTTGGAGATGTAATTAAAAATAACTGTTTGATGGAAAATGAGATAAAAACAGCAGAAACGGCAGTGAAGATAATTAATGAGGATGGTGAAGTTGATTTAGATGTTACAGCGTTTGGCTGCAAGGATGATGACCAAGCGTGTGGCTTATCTCTAAATGAATCCAAAGATTTAAATGAGGACAGAATCCCTGTGATAGATCCTTGTGAGGTTGTTGAGGATGTTGATGTTGGATTTAATGACCATTCTCGTGAGGAAGTTTCTGGCTCACAATCTAGCATGGTTGATCATGACAAGTTGGAAACAATCTGCCGCAAGACCTTTGATGAAAGGGTACTTCAGTTGCACTGTGAAATATCGGATAATAAAACAAGCAATGGAGTTCATGGTTTGGAAAAGGAGTCCCCTGCTAAGGAGACAAGCAAGTGGCGTGAGCAGCTTCTGAATGATGCTGAAGAGAATGATAATTACAATCGCTTCTACTTTGAGTCTGATCATTTAGCTCTAAAAGACAATAAGCAGTAAGTATTACAGTTTTACTCAGGCAAGGTCTGGTCCTGGCAGGGATACTTGGGTGAATTTTGCAGGGTATTTGCAGCTGCTCTCAGAACCCTGGCCAATTTTTTGGCCACTTATTAACCCCATTTTAGTCACTTTTGGTCATGTGTTAACAACTTTTTAACTGTCAATATTATCATTTTTAAATCCCTACTTATCAGAATTTTGACACTCAAAAATCCCAAAAATGTGCTGCTCCATTCTAGTAACTCTACTGAAATGCCACTATCATAATAGTTACTCCAGTCATGGGAATGCAACCACATCCAGAGGGACCTTCCCAATATCCTTTTACTAGGAAGTACCCCCCCCCCCAAGTGCCTGATAGAAGAACAAACCAAAAAAACAGACTAACAAATCTTTCCAGTCTGAAAAGTAACATGTTAGCATTGTTTTTTCATAAACCCTTTCACTCCTGAGATCATGTTAGTAGTTCTTATTATCTACAATTCTTATGGTAGTTGGGAGAATTTGGTATTGGATCAGCCAATAATCCCCTAATTGATAAATCAGGACATGCACCTGTAGGGGTACACAAATGTAGATTTTTTGTCTTCTTTTGTACCAGCTATCATTTATTATTACAAACCTTGCTGATGTTGGAGTCCCAGAGGAGTCAAGCTGTTAAGGTAATCAAAATTATCATCACTTAAAAAAATAATTTAATATTTGTGTGACATTGTAGAGTGTAGAGTGCCAGACTGCAGTGCAGGAGGTTGAGGGTTCAAGCCACGGACTGAACCAACATTCAGGGTCTTGAATAACTGGGGAGTGTGCTGCCTTTGCTATGACATCTGCGATATTTAAAATTCTAATCTTCTTGAATAAGCATGATAAACTATAGGTTCCCTCCTCCTGCATCTGCTCTGCACTACTATGCAGGGGTTGTTAAAGAACCCATCAGTTTAACTTCAAGCATCGGTCAAACTGTTTTTCTTTGTGTTTGCATGGGGATTGTGTTTGCTTCATGAAATGTAGTTTTATACTAACTAACCCAAGGAGAGATTTTGTTCATGACATACATGTATGGACACTTTTTTATGGTGTAACTCTTTGCACTGTTTCTTTTTTTAAAGGATCTTGATAACCTTTATGAACAGCAAGTTAAAGCCCTCCAAGATCCTGTTAGTTTTGTGGAGAAGCTCCAAAATAAGGTGATACAATATTCCAAGAAAATTTTAAATATTAAATTTTTTTTTGGCTTTCGAGGATGACATCTGTCAGTATGCTACTCATGTTTTGAGAAGGCACCTTTTTAACTGTTTGACCCCCTAAGAGTGACTAACATCTAATTTCTCCTTACAATATCACCCCTGAATCACACATAAAGGTCATGAGAATAGAGGAAATGATCAGCCTAAGAGTGACCAGCATCTAATTTCTCCTTACAATATCACCCCTGAATCACACATTAAGATCAGGAGAATAATTATAGGAAATGATCACCAACTAAAGAAGTTGTTGATTGTTAAACAAATTCTCCTTGTCAGCACATTAAAATATATTTAGAGAACAGTATTAAGAATATTCCTAATGATTATTGGGTGTAAAGGCTTAATTAATGAATGGTTCTTAGTTTGTTCGATCTAATCAAAGCCATATCAGTTTTCTTAAAACAATATGAAAGTAAAGCCCCCAGTTTAAAATTAGCACCAAGTACAGTTACAACCTTTGTTGAGTGATGTTGTCATAGAGGAAAGGGAGAAAGGTATCATCAGTCATCAGGGCTTGACACTAACTTTTCAACTTACAAGCCAAGTGGCAAGTGACAACTTAAATGTTACAACAATTTCAGTTTGTTTACTAGCCAAACTGGCTGGTGGAAATCAAAACCACTGGCCAAAACTGAATTTCTACTAGTCTGTAGCTAGTTGGCTACTGTCAGTGTTGAGCCCTGGTTGTGATGAGGATTGTGCATTTGCATGATTAATATGTTTTTTATAACATCTAATAAATGGTGTGAGAATGGCTGGTGGAAGACTTTGCCAACAGAAGTCTTATAAATTGGAAGCAATTTTCGTTTTACTTTAGCAACATTTAGATCTTCCACCACGGCAGAAGATTGTAAAGCTACCATCAGTTCCTTGGGAGGAGTACACAGTATCACTGAGTGCAATAGAGAGACAGAGACTAAGTAATCCACACCTCACCAGAGCCACTTCAAACAACCTGGGTAAAGGTATGAAGAGAAAACTGTTTTATTTAAGGAAAGCCAATAAATCACAAGCTGAAGGCATGTGAATTAAAAGTTTTTTGCATGTTCTCCCAACATTCCAAGTGGCTTTATCACATTCTAGAGCCTGGAGAAAATGCTTTTTATTGTTTTTATGACATATCTAGTCACATGCAGGATCAATAATCTGATAAAGCATTCGCTTGGAAACTGGAATTGGCCAATCAGATGATGCATACCATTTTCACTATGTTATGATATGCATTAGACTTACTCTGAAATATTGGATTGGTTGAGTGCCTCAATCAATTAACAATTATTGCATGAGGTTGAGCATGATAGCAATAATTATCGAGGCCAAAGTTTGTGTTATCTGCCTCAGCCTTGGACTTTGGCATATAACATAAACTGAGGCCTTGATAATAATCGCTATCATGCAAAAATTGGAGCCAGTAATTGTTTTATTATGCATAATCCTGAGCTGCATTTGTAAAGACAAGAGCGCATAAGACTATTGTCTGTGGGTGTGACGTCACTTCTACATTTATAAAATCTACTGTCTGAAGGTATGATGTAAGAGAATGTAGAATAATAAACAATAGCATGTGAAATTGACATTGTAACACCAATATATGCTGCAGATATTGCATTTATTATGTAGAGTTTAAAATCTGCCTAGTTCCCAAACTTCTCTTCCATGTAGTGTTCTCAAACTTTTACAAACGATAAATAATTAAAACAATCATTGAATTTGGTTTTTGCATGATATCATGAATTATCAAACCTGGTGTCTAAGTTATCTGCTGCAACCTTTGGCCATGACAGATAACTCAGACTGTGGTTTTTATAATTTCTAATATCAGACTGAACCTCAACCAATAATTGCTTATGATAATTGTTTCCAGTTTAATATATAGTATATTTTTGAACATCAGAGGCTGACACTAATGCACATCCAGAAAATACGTGTACTTGTACATGTGCGGTAAAAATTCTAACATATAAGTACACTGTAAACTGTTCAGCCAAATTCAATATGGGATCCTTAGAATTTTCCTCTGTTGTAACATAATCTCAGAATTTATACCAGTGTATACAGTTATGATACAGTATACTAATGATTTACTGGATACTTTATATGAAGAAGAATCTTTTGTTCAAAGTTAAAGATCATTTTTATACCTGTTTCCAAGAAATAGGAAAAAAAATCTTTAATGACAATAATAGTGAATGCTCATAAATGTTTAGGCAGCTCTCAGGAATGTTTCATTTATACAAATGATCATTGTGTGGCATCTGCAAATGAAGCAAGACATTTGAAATAATTCAGCATACATAGTTGATGTTTATTGCTGCTTCCACGTGCAGGCAAGGGGAAACTTAGCCAGTGTTAAGCCATAGTGACTTTGTGTTTTGTCAACACATCATAAGGCAACATTTTATGTTGATAGTGGAGAACTGTAACTCATTAAAATATCTCATTTGCAATTCTCGTTACTGTTTGATATACAATTCTTATGATGTTAGCCCAGAGAATTTGATATTGGATGAACTTATAGCTCCCTAAATGATGTTTTTCTTTATTTGTTTCACTTGTCTTCTTGATAGGCTATTGATACAATTGTAAGAATATCAAGAATATTAAAAGGTTGACTTGCACAGCCGTGATACTTGCTTGGTTTAAAGACCTCATCAATTGGTAGCCAATTTATGCTTTGAAACAAATTTGAAATCTTTTTGTGGAATTATTATTTTTTGGTGGAATCATTAGTAACACGAATGTGCATGATTTGAAGTATTATTTATTTTACAGCAGCTGAATCGTCATTACAAAGTTCCGATGCAAGTGAGACACTGTGTACTGCACCTTCAGAGAGCAATGTTTACAGTGTCTTTGGAGGAGGGTTTGTTGCAAGCCGGCAAGGAAAAACACTAGAACGAGAAAGGCGAGTATCCTGTTCAATGTTAGTTTTGACCCCCAGTAATCCAAAACCATTGTGGAAGAATGAGTTATTGTTACTTTCCAGAGTGCAAAGTGGCTCATACAAGGGCAGACAAGGAAGAATCCTTCTGAACACACTGAGAATGGTTTTGTATCTGGTTGTCCAAGACAAGATGGCTTTTCTGCTGGACAATCAATATTTCTTGCTTTCTGTATTTCAGATTATCCATGTTAGGTTCAGTTTTTAATTCAATCCTAGATAGCAAGCTAGTATTTGGACAGGACAGCACAGGATCATGAAAAAGTACCTTCTAGGCCTGTTAATTGTGACAAATTTTTACCCTGAAAACACAGCATTACTTTTTGCAATGCTGTGTAAGTTTAAGGCAAATTTTTGTTCGTCTAAATTTTAGTAAGTCACAAGTTTTCAAGGCAGCAAACAAGTTCATAATTTATCTTTTCACCGTGTTGTGTGCAAACATTAATGTTTTCTTATTTTTGTGACCATTTACTTAATATTTAACAGTCTGACAAGCGTCTTCACTCCAAGAGGTAGTGAATTAAAGAATGGGCAAAACGACATGAAACCGGTAACCTTCAATCAGCCCTGGACTACTGAAGAACAGGTTTGTCTGGTTTTACCGGTACTTGTAAGCATAGAAAGAACTGGGGAACATTTGGGTATATTACTCATTGTCAGATTTTAAATAAATGAAGACCTCCCTGAAAGACTCTCAGTACATAGGTGTATCATGTCTTTGGCTGAAAGATTCCACTTTTAGAATTTCCCTGTGGTCCTTGAGGAATCGATGTTTTTCCATCAGAATGTATCCTCAGTTGCAATGGAATTTAATCTTATTTGAGGGAAGATAGTGGAACTTTTGGACACCGACCTCACAAGATGCCAGCGGATTGGACATTTGACAAATTTTGTTTCTCTTTCCAGGCTAAATTGGAAAAGTTGTTGCAGATATATCCCCAGGAAGAGATTGAATCCAAGAGATGGGAGAAAATTGCTGCTGCTCTAGGGAATAGAACTTACAAACAGGTTTTGGTTTTACGCTTTGCTTAATGTAAAAGTCACAGACAATGGTTTTTGGCAACATCAGGATTAATTCTAGAGCCAACATTTACGACAATTTAAATGACACTTACCTAGTTAATTTTATAATAAACTTTATGTCTAATTTATGGCTCCAAATATATGAGTCCATCGCCCATCGACATATCCCAAAGACCGGATTGGGAACGTCCCACCTTCACGTCACTTTCTCTTGCCCCAAAATAATGGAAAGCACTTAAACTATCTTTGAATGCTTATTCAATATTTTTGATTCCCTTAAGGTTGCCAGTCGAGTTCAGAAATACTTCATTAAATTAGCTAAAGCAGGGCTACCTATACCCGGCCGTGTGCCCAACATACCTCGGTTAGGAACCAGGGTAAGAGAGAAACTTTATTTTTGTAATTTTGTTGCAACAATGTCATGTTAAATACTTTGTTTATATTATGCATTTCTGATGTACTTCATGGATTGATTGATTGATAGCATTGCAAAGTAAATGGCAGTCAATGGTGGAAAAGGAATGATACTATTTTTTTTTTTTTTTAAACACGTTGAAATGTGAGGAATGAGAAGTGATTGCTCTATCCTCTACTCACTCCAGAAATAACCATTTATTAGATTTTTGGGTTAAATCTGTTTATTGACAGCTTAGTGTATCATTAAATACGTTTGCAAGCCCCAGGCATCACTGGACAGGTTATAGGACAAGGTTTCTCATTCAAATGTGCTAATTCCACATATCTTGAATTTGCTAGTTGATGTATTATTGATAGACCAACTAAAACACTAGAATGTACAACTGCTCAAAAGCATCCACGGTATTCAGCATGTTGGTTCAACCTTGACGTGTTCTTTTAAAACTCTTTGACTAATTGGTCTTGCAGAGTAAGCGGTCTTCCCATCACTATCAAACTCTTGGGTTTCGAAATTCTACGTTTTTTCCTTCTTATCGACCAAAAGTTTTAATGGAAGAAGATGACGAAATTTCGAGTGTAGCTACGGATGACACCGTCGGATATGCATCGGTAAGCTGTTAGTTACTACATTTTACATTTCATCATCATCATCATCATCATCATCATCCTCTTTATTTGCCTTATTTTAACAATTAAAAAATAGTTAATTATAGCGATAACAGTTAGAAGGCGAGGAGACCCAAGAAGCCACCAGGCTTATGGGAGAGCCACCTCACTTACAATAATAAATTAAGTAAAGAAAAAGTGCTGCGAATGTGGGGCTTGGCCAATTCAGTGATTATTTATAATAAGTAAAAACTCTTGCAATTTCATTTTAAAGCTGAGAAAGTTTGACAAACAAGTGACGGAAATAGGGAGAGAGTTCCAAATTTTAGGACCTTGGTAGAGAATTGTAAACTGCTTGATATTTGTACAGCACAAATGCGTTCGATAATTACTGGCTGCTCTGGTACCATGGTATTGCAAAAAGATTGTGAAGCAATGGGGGTTATAAGTTATTTTTTAAATAAAACATAAATTTGGCGATTTCAAACGTATTGACTTGGAAAATATCTAAAATTCCTAGTTTGGAGAATAAAGGGGCAGAGTGGTCTCAATTCCAGGAGACGAAAGTGCCGTTCAGTATTAGCATTTTGCCTACTTTTGTAGGCGCGCAGAATATAACTCAATTGGTTAGAGCGCCGGATTGTGTTGTGCGGGAGGTCGAGGGTTCGAGCCCCGGCAGGATCAATACTCGTGGTCTTAAAATAACTGAGGAGAATTTGCCACCTTTCTATAATATCAAGAAATTAATAGATATTCTAGTCTTCTCGGATAAGGACGAATAAACCGTAGACCCTGTCTCCTGCAGGGTTAGGGGTAGGGACACCGCGGAAATACGTTTTTTAAGGTACGATACAGTATTTTATTGGTCAGCGGACACCTCAATGAAACTATAGAATGCCGGTAACTTTT